GAAGTGGTCACAGCACCAAGCCTGACCAAAGTTCAAGAAGCATTTGGACAATACTCACAGGCAAATAGTGTGATTTTTGGGGCTGTTCTGTGCAGGGCCAGGAGTTGGTCTCAATGATCCTTGTGGTTCCCTTCCAACTCTGAATATTTTGTGATTCTGTATTTCTACTCTTGTTGGCTTTCATGTGTTTCTGTGTTCAGGAATGTCAGCCTATCAGTATATTTTTAATCAGGTAATCCACCATATTTGCAGGAAGAAAATTATGGAGTTTCCCACTAATCCATCTGCAGAATAGGACCAGGGGGCAGGACTTCTTAAACTGTTCATGAAGAAGCCACAGTATAATATGCATTATGAGTAGTGCAGCAGAACACATCTTAATATATATTTTGCATTATTTAATATGCAATTTCAAAGAGACAGCTTTGAAAAAGTAGAAATTATCTTTAGCAAATGCATATTTTTATGATAATTTGGGCAAGATTTTCTTGCCTACGATCATTAGATGTTTGCTTTTATAGGCTTTGCATAACATAGTAGATCCCTCTTACTATGTTTCTTAACACGTATTTGAGGATGAGAGTAGATGATGTGGTTATACAAAAATCTCCTTTCATTCAGAGTATTTATTAGTTTGGTTTTCCTTTTAACTGTATATCTAAGATATATTACATCATCTATATTTGAACAAGAGATTGTGAAAACACAAGAAAGTTATTTTGGGTACAGACTGATTTTTTTTTCAGCAGTATTAGAAAATTATTAGATAAACTAAAACAAGATTGAGACGTTACTGTAAAAGATACTTAATTATAAGGATCTTTGTGCTTTTCTTTTCTTTTTTTTTTTTTTTTTAAACATCAGTTACCACTGATGTGTGTTTAGGAATGTGTGGGAATATTTATAGTGAAATATATAATAATGAATTAAAGTATTGGGGATTAGTATTGAACTGATGAATCACTAACACAGTATAGAGCACTGTATCTATGATTCATAGACACAGCTTGTTTCAGTTTTAAATGTAAGTTAGGGAAATATCTGTCATCAAGGTAAGACTGGAAATGGAATTGCTGAAAGGTATATACATTTTAGGTAGGAATAATGAAGATTAGCCGTGGTATTACATGCTAATTATTTGTGAAAAAAGTAAATAATCCATAGGTAAATGACACAGTTATTAACTACGTCATACAGAGTACTTGTTTTACATGTATATATAAGCAGATACTTTGTATTCAGAAATTAGAAAACTATTTGATGTTTTGTTTTAAAGAAATTGCCTTTTAATTATCCCAAGAATTTCCTCCAAAACTCATGACATTCCGTACTGTAACATGTTTACTACTAACAATCCTAGCTTTTATCTTTCCTTTTTTTAAAAAATATATAGGAAATAGATTTTCAGTGTTAGAAATTAGAGAAGTGATAGCTAAGTGGTCTTAATTAATAATTTTTACCAATTCAGAGGGATTTATGTTTGCTCTTGCATTAGAATGACTTAACTTGAATTTGTGTGCCTATGCTGGGAATTTTTCACAGGAAACAAAATCCGGTGTTCTAGAATTCCGACATGGGATCAGATACTTTTTCTTTCCATGAAAATCATCATAAACTGAATGCTTTATATGACTGCTTTACATCAAATATTTTAGGATCTAAATTGTGTGCATTTTTCCTGTATTAAGTCAAGAATCAGTTGTTCTGAGCTGCAAGCTCAGCCACTTGAATATCAGCTGCCACTTGGTGAGTAGCATAAAAAGCAGTAAACTTGAGTGCATGTATCGTAGGATTGAACATTGTCTGTTTCATGTTTAAAAGCGATATAATGAAATCATTACTGGCTTTTCTTCCCTTTTCCACCTTCCTGAAGGTGAATACTAGTATTTTTAAACACCTTTTTTTTAATTATTTTTTCTTTTTCCTCTCAAACAAAGAGGTGAAGTAACAATCAACCACAGATTTCCCAAAGGTTGCCCAGAAAAGATGTTGGATGTCCCATCCCTGGAAGTTGGATAGGGCACTGAGTAACCTGATCTAGGGGAAGGTGTCCGTGTCAGAGGGTTTAAACTAGATTTAGCTTTAAGGTCACTTCCAACCCAAACCATTCTGTGATTATGATTCTAGAAGTAAAGAGCAGAACCAAATTAAAGATACATTTTTTTCCCTCAGGTATACTATTCCATGAAGGTTGAAGCATCAAGCAGAGGATTTTTTTAAAATATATTTTTTATTTTGATTTTCCTAATATTTGTATACACTTTAAATTCAAATAATTT